TGCTTCAAATGCCAGAGTTTCTGAGCCAACATTTTGGTTGCTAAGCAAGAGCGTTGTTAAGAGAGTTTCACCACATTTTGCAAGTTGGCCATGCCCACCCGGTCACATGACTGCCAAACCACTCCCACCCAGTCACATGACCACCAAGCCACTCCCACAAAACAGGCCACATCTACAGAAGAGGTTCTAAAAAATTTTGAAACCCACCACTGGAACTAATCCAATAATCGTAGGAACAAAAGAGGCAATAGCAAGGATACTTTCAAGATCTGAAGAATATGTTGAAAAATAGTTGCTTGAAAAATGGTTATTTTTAAAGTTTTACTATTTTGAAATCTTATTTTTAAAATTAAAATATTTTAAAGGTCTGATAAGTTTTATTAGTCTTTTGATTTGTGTAGTCAACTGTAACAACACTCATTCCATAGTTCAGGCATAGATAGATGAATCAGACCCAAAGCCCTGTGCAGAACTATGCCAAGCCTACTTGCCACTTGAAACAGACCTAGATAATATCTGTGATTCACTAAACCATAAAACTAGTCTAATACAGCATATTAGTTAATTTTGGGTAGCAAATTTGTGGGAACAAAATCAGTACCTTAATCATTAGAATCTGATTCTTTAAACTGGATACAGGTAGTCCTCGATTAAAGACCATAATCAAACCCAGAATTTATGATGTGAGAAATTTGTTAAATGAATTTTGCCCCATTTTCTTGCCACATTTGTTAAGTGAATCACCGCAGTTATTAAATCAGTGCACTATGGACACATTCACAAGAACACTTATTAAACTTTGTACACATTTGTTAATTTTTATCAAAATCTCTTGAAAATTATTAGAAATATTTGGAGTGGCATCTACTGAGCACAACTTGTACACATTCTACCTTCTTCCCCAGATGTTTTTATAAACAACAAAATAACAACTTATAAAACTGGAAAAATACAATAATTTCTCAACTAAATTAAGAGAATAAAGTTTCTACATTGCCAGTACTGAAACTGATATGGGACTTAAATGACTCTATTTAGCCTATCTTTTATTCTCTACTATAGGAGGAGATATCTATGGCATATGTTAAGTGGTCTGGTTGTTCCTTTTCTAATTCACAAATTGAAAGCTTTCATGAGTTTGTTTTTAAACAAAATTTTGTTAATCAGAAAAGTTGTTACCACACTCCTGATTTTTCTCTCTTGTATTTATTGCAAAAGGGTCATTTGCATTAAGAAATAGATTAAATAGAATAAATACACTGGTTTTTCTTCAGATCTAAATGGTCACAAAATAAAGGGACTGTTTTCAGAACAAATTAAAATAACTGCTGAATATTGTAGAAATGCACTAGTGCCATCTCATGGGGGGAAAGTGGGATTGTAAATTATGTAAATATGGAGATTCTTAGCCATCCAGGTCACGGTTGTCCCAAAGGTGCTTTTTCAAGACGCAACTGGACTTTCTGGTTTTTCTTTGAAGACGTTTTGCTTCTCATCCAAGAAGCTTCTTCAGCTCTGTAAATTATGTAATTTCAGTCCTTCATACTTTTAATAAAAAGACATAATGTAACTGTTCTGTCTGTCCCCTTTTATAGTACAGTAGAATCAGTCCTGTTTTTAGCAAGGTTGCAGCAAGATAGCAGGCAATCTGGGCAATGGTTGAACTTCAACTTCCAGAATTCCTCAGCCATGTAACCTATGCAAGTTAAACAAGATCAAATGTGTGCAATAACGGCTACAAAGGATTGCAGTAGAATCTGTTGCTCTTCTCCCTACTGTAAATCTGGTACCGGCGTGGTTTTCAGAACTTCAGTTTGTATAGTTTTGGCAAGAGGATTTTAAGACAAAATAAAAAAGGAGCAAGGATATCTACCTTGGTATCTATCTCAGTCTACATTTTACCAGGCAAAGACATACCAAGACTAGATTAAATTCTGTGTAGGTCCTAGACATTTCTATTTTGTATGGCCTTTATGCCATCCCTTCAAGGCCAGGAAACGGACATTAGATATGCACTTTACAGGGCATAATAACAGAATCCAAAAGTCTGACAAAAAAATTATCTCATACAAAACTGGGGCAGCCTCACCTTTTTCATTCACCACGGTCACCATGATGTAGAAAAGATGTGGAGACTGTAGAAAGAGTGCAGAGAAGAGCAACAAAGATGATTAGGGGACTGCAGACTAAAACATATGAAGAACAGTTGCAGGAATTGGGTATGTCTAGTTTAATAGAAAGAAGGACTAGGGGAGATACGATAGCAGTGTTCCAATATCTCAGGGGCTGCCACAAAGAAGAGGGAGTTAAACTATTTTCCAGGGCACCTGAGGGTAGAACAACAAGCAATGGGTGGAAACTAACCAAGGAGAGAAGCAACTTAGAACTGAGGAGAAATTTCCTGACAATTAGAACAATTAATCAGTGGCACAGCTTGCCTCCAGAAGTTGTGAATGCCCCAACACTGGAAGTCTTTAAGATATTGGATAGCCTTCTGTCTGAAACAGTATAGGGTTTCCTTCCTAGGCAGGGGTTTGGACTAGAACACCTCCAAGGTCCCTTCCAACTCTGCTATTGTATTGTATTATTCATTCTCTTCTTCAGGACTAAACTGAAGGATTGTA